TGAAGTATGGACGGAGTGGAGGAGTAATACTCAGCGCAGCGCTTTGTTTGATCAACACATCGTCTGCAAAAAAAATCTAGAAAAAAGCCAGTATCRAATGCGGTATTGGCGCGCTCTAAACAATGCTAGAGCGAAGAACCCTCCAAAAGTTTCTTGCCCGATTTAGTAYTAACTTGAAAAATTGGCTCGATAGCAACGCAAACAAATAGTTTCTTCAGAGCGAAAACTAAGTAAGTGCACATTTTCCAAAGATTTTCCTGTAATTTGTGGACAGTTCTTGCATAAGCAATATTGATTGGGAATTGAGTTAAACATATTCCCTTGTGACTTGTTGAGTTTCTTGGTTCGTAATTCTTAATTCATATTCTTGTGAACATCAGTTGTTCATATTTTTTTGAATGTATTGTTTTGAGAAACTCATAAAATATGCCATCATTTATTGCACCTTTGTCTGCAATGGGTATGTTGCATAAGAAGCAATATCTTCTGGGAGGAGTTTGTCCCAAGGTTTTACAATTCTTGAATTGATGGTTTGAACATACTACTCTTCTTTCAAGCCAAGCTCTCCCCAGATTGGATCATCTTTGAACCTGAGGTTTGTTTTAAGTTCAAGATATATGTTGGTTTTTCTATCTTTTTTTGACAATAGGGAGTCTCCTCCCACAGGTTTGAGTTGATTGAAATTACCTGCATAGACAATTGGTACTAGATTGCCATCATAGTACAAATGATATGGTGACTTGTCATACAATAAGTTCAGATACTTGTTCAATATTTCAATTTGTTTGATGCTAGCAAATGGTATCTTGTCAACAATGAGTAGGCAAGTCTCATTTTCCCATGCATCATCCTGTGCAATATTGGATCTGTCACTATTAAGACAGTAAGCACAGCTCAAATTGTCAGTTCAAGACTCAAACAGTTACTATACAGTTAAATTATACTATGGGTTGATTTTGGGACATCTTTTTTGTTGAATGGCCTGGTGTACTGGGGTTACAGCAACAGCATGAGCAAGCAAAACTATTTGGTTGCACAACTGACAGGATTCAAATATTAAAAATTCAACACAATGTCCAAATGTACTAGTACTGAGAACATGCATTTTGTATGTATTCAGTTTTTTAGTCAAAGTAGTCATTACACAGAAAAATAGGGCCCAAAATCTATGACTGGTTTGTAGATTTCCAAGCCACATCTATATGATAACTAGTAGGAAAGATGATCTCTTGTACAGTTCTGATTTAAACATTGTTATGCTCATCTGCAATGCTCTTCCCWWAYTTTGTGGAGAGGAACTGACAGTATTTTCTGTAGGACTCAAAATTTTCCAACAAGGCCTCAGTTGCTGCATCATGCCTGTCATAGCCGCCATCAATAGCTAAAGCTGTCCATTTTTATTGTTGTTGGGTTCTTTTTAATGTCTGAATGACTGATCACAAAAAAAATTGAGTCTTAGGAGGATTTGGGTTATTCTCTTAAATTTTGGAATAATCAATCACAAACTTGAAGTACAAGTACTTCTATTTATTTGAGTCTTGTTGGGAGCAATTTGGTTCTCTTAAATCTTGGAATGCTGACCACTCACAAATATGACTGATTTTTTGATTGTTGGGAGCAATTTGGTTCTCTTAAATACTTGAATGACTGATCCTCTTGATAATGACTTTTTTTACTCTTGGGAGCAATTTGGATCTCTTAGCAAATACTGGAATGACTGATCATCACGGTAATGACTGAATCTTTAAGTTTAAAATGAATAAGCTGTTTTTGGTGAAGGTACTAATTTATTTACAAAAGATTGGATACTGGGTTTTACATGGATTCTACACTAAAAACATGTTTCTTCTTATTTCTTTGGTAAGTCCGGGGCTGTGAGAATTCTTTAAGGTTATTGGTGGCTACCATGCACTAAAGATAGTAGTAGTCCGGTGCACTGTAGCCAACTTGGGGAGGGAATTCCGCTCCCCAAAAGAGGTCCCACATTTGGGGTAGTAAAAAAATTATCAGTAATCAACTTTAGTAGAAGTAGTACCAGATGTCTCAACATTCCAAATGTCATCAAGTCACCAATGTTTGGAATGTTGGTATATCACCACAGACCTAGTACATAGTAGCTAGGAGATCCTAGAATTATTATCATTCTTTATTTGGTTGTGTGCTACTAGTACTACAACTATCCTCAAACAGTTAGTATTATCATCACTGCTGGTGCAAGTCCTGAAGTATGCTTTTTGATGTCTTGTTCTTTGCTGATGCATAATATCAAATTATCATACACCATGGCGATGATTGAAACAATTGACTTGTTCTGAGATCTCACCCCTAGTACTACTAGTACACTCAGAATTGTCTTGAAAAGGCTTAAATCTTATTCATCTGCATTCTTCTCCTTGTAGTACCAGTTGTAGTAGCTAGAGATAAGGGGTACTACTACTACTACTGCTGCTGCTGCTGCTGCTACTACTACTACTACTACTACTACTACTACTACTACTACTACTACTACTACTNGTCCAGGAAATGTCAACCTCAGCTTGATTTCACCACCATACTACTAGTACTACTAGAACAAGGAGGAAGGAAGGATGGAAGAAACATTGGGTTCTATCACATGTGAATAATAATGTGACAAGATGAAAAGCCATCAATACTAGGCCAGTACTGCTGCTATCAACAAAGGAGAGGAAGAGCTGGTGGTGGACAAGAAAGCGCCACCAGTCATAAAAAATTCAAAATTGAACAGCAGCGGGTGAGATTAAATTACTATTAGTAAGAACTAAAGAAAAAAAATCTTAATATTATTTTTAACCTTGTGAACTAGAAGAGGCGCTATATGGCCAGAACCATAGCTTTTGGTGAAAAGTATGCTTCTAGCTGCTCCAAGGGGCGGCACCTCCCTCCAAGGAGGTTTGATGGAGGTGCAACCAATATTAGTAAGAACTAAAGGAAACACCATGGAAGCCGGGAAAAACTGCGTCAAGGAAGAACTAAAGAATGATGAGAACAAAAAGAATGAAAGTTCAAATAATCCTGCTGGTGGTGGTACTACTACTAGTACTAGCTCTAGAACTAGTTCAAGTTGTTTGAAAGAAAAATATTACTACTACTCCTAGCTAGCATCAATGACAAGAACAACAACAACAACAACAAACAAGAAGAACTACTAGTAGTACCAGCAGTACTACTATGATGGCAGCAATAAGAACAAATGTGATGACTGCCAACCATACTACTAGGTATTTGGCTAAAATGGTGATTCTTTGTTCTGATCTCAGGGGTATACTACTACTACTAGTACTAGTAGTAGCAGTACTAGTATCATGGTACTTAATTGTCTAAAACAAATAATGGCTTCTATTCCACCATGATATTACTACTAGTAGTACTAGTAGTGGTATCTACTACTAGTAGTWTTACTAGTACTACTAGTACTACTACTASTAGTACTACTATGTCCAGTTGTGTTTTTTCAATTCTGGTCTATCAACAAGCAGTTTCAGATTAGTACTACTATTACTTAGTACTACTATTAGAACTATTATTTTAATAGTGGTACTGCTGCTACTAMTACTACTACAAGTAGTAGTAGTAGTAGTAGTAGTAGTAGTAGTASWMCWMCTASTASTACTAGTAGCAGTATGGAACAAAAAGGTACTCCTGTTCACTACTGTATGACGACAAAGGCAAAGGCCCGTAACTCTTTTTTTAAATTTGATTCGCTGCCGATGTTCAATATTTTCGTACGAACCGATGCAATGGATCGAACAAACAATCAAGGTTCCGAAAGTTCTACTCCAAAACTCCTGTCAACGCAACGTCTTTTGAATATTATGGCAAAGACAAGAAGTTCCAAGATCAACAGCAAACGTACCGAAAAGATCACGGGGGAGAAATCAGTTTCTGGTTCCCAATCGCACTCTCGTGTATTCGCTACGAGAACCCGCCAAACAAGGATCACCAACTGTACCGATGCCTGTGCAGATAGTAGCGGTCGAATATGGGGTCTTCTCTCGAAAGTCAAGTGCGACCGACGAGAAACCATTGTTTTCGTTTGCTTCCTTCCAACTAATGGTGATCGGCAGCTAAAGGACTACCAGAAGACCATCGATGAGTTGAAACTAAGAGCTAAGAAAACGAGGTGTGCCCGTCTGACAGATTCGCTAGAGATTGTGGAGATCGAAGGCGCCTCTGCAGACCCTACAATTCCATGGTGGAATCAATTATTTAATGATGACAGGGAAGATTTTGATACTGATCATACAAGGTCGCATAATCAATTAGTTTATTTTGGTCGAGAAAGGGCTGGAATAAAGAAGGACGATTATTATGTATCTAAGACTGGAAAAGATACCGCATTGTCTCTCTTCTTGCATCAAATAAACAATTGCAACTCAATAGAGGACATCGTCAAATGCGGCATAATTCCTGATWTTTACCCAAATCAGATGAAGATATCACTGCCAAATGATTTTCATGACGATATCATTGCCAAGACAAAAAAAATGGGCTTCGCGACAATCAAATCACCTCCATCCGGACCATTCCTCCGCGCACATTTTTTATGGATGGCAGATTTCCTTCTCAACAATTCAATAACGCGCCTTCATTTTCAAAAGTTAAAGTCTGCGGGTTCACCTACCATCGCTGCCGTTCGTTTTGTACGAGCTTCGTCTGCTTTATGGAATATTGCA